GGAGGGCTGGGGGAGGGTTGTGGGAGGCCGGCATCGCCCTGCTTGTCCGGAGACCTTGTGCTGTCCCCTCCTCACTCAGGCGGCCTGCTGGGCCGGTGCTCCCGGGGCCCCGCTGCTCTGATTCCTGCATCCTGCCTTTCAGCCCCGGAGTCACCTGCGGGGTGGGAGGCTTGGGAGGCTTGGGCTGCAGCACCTTCCTCAGGCTGTGGCTCAGAACCAGCGTCCGGGGTCGGTTTTTGAGAAGGGTGTTGCTAGTTTTGTTTAGTGCTTGTTGAATGCTTGTTTTGTGTGCCCAGCTGAGCATTGTGCCTCAGGCCTTAAAGCCTTTTGCCTGGGGGACACCCCCAGTGTAAAAGCTTTACAAGTGCTGAACCAAACACCCCCAGTTTAAAAGCTTTACAAGTGCTGAACCAAACACCCCCAGTTTAAAAGCTTTACAAGTGCTGAACCAAACACCCCCAGTTTAAAAGCTTTACAAGTGCTGAACCAATCTTCCCCCAGTTTTCACTTGCACTTCACCTCCTCGTTGCACAGATTTTTGGTTACTTAATTTTTTAATATATAGTTTAAGCTTTTAAAAAGCCATTCTCCTCCATCCTTAGGAGTTTATTCCTTGGCTGACTTAACATTAGAATACCTGCTTTAGACAAGGCTCCTTTTTTTTTTAGCCCCTTAAGCACTAGATGTAGTTTAACTTAACGTGATGAAGAGGCTGCACTGAAGTTTTTTCTCATTGCTGTTTTGGAGGAGTTCTTGCTGATGTTCAAAAGCAGTATCCCTGGATTTTCCCTTCACACCTCTATTTACTTTTCTCTTGTCTCCTTCAGGGTTGTGTTGATCATCCAATAGTTCTGACAGAAGCAGTGTGCAATCCTCTGTACTCAAGACAAATGATGTCAGAGCTCCTCTTTGAATGTTACCAAGTGCCAAAAGTATCCTATGGTGTAGACAGCTTGTACAGCTTTTACCACAACAGAAGGCAGAACTGGCCCTGCAGTGGTTTGGTGATATCTTCAGGTTATCAGTGTACACATATTTTGCCAGTTTTAGAAGGCAGGTGAGTTCTTGGTGTGTGAAATGTGCTGCAGCCTCTCTTGGTCAGTCCTTGACTTTTTAGTGATGCATAGAATCGTAGACTGGTTTGGGTTGGAAGGGACCTTAAAGATCATCCAGTTCCAACACCCCTGCATGGGCAGGGACACCTCCCACCAGCCCAGGTTGCTCCAAGCCCCATCCAACCTGCCCTTCAACACTGCCAGGGATGGGGCAGCCACAGCTTCCCTGGGCAACCTGGGCCAGGCTCTCACCACCCTCACAGGGAAGAATTTCCTCCTTATGTCTAACCTGAATCTCACCTCTTCCAGTTTTCATCCATCCCCTCTTCTCACTCCCTGCTCTTATCCCAAGTCCCTCCCCAGCTTTCCTGCAGCCCCTTCGGGCACTGGAAGCTGCTCTAAGGTCTCCCTGGAGCCTTCTCTTCTCCAGGCTGAACACCCCAACTCTCCCAGCCTGGCTCCAGAGCAGAGCTGCTCCACCCCTTGGATCATCTTTGTGGCCTTTCTCTGGACTCTCTCCATGTCCTTTTATGTTGGGGGCTCCAGAATTGGACACAGTGCTCCAGGTGGGGTCTCACAAGAGCAGAGTAAAGGGAGGAATCAGTTCCCTTGACCTTCTAGCCATGCTGCTTTTGATGCAGCTCATGTTGAGCTCCTCAACATGCAAACACCAGTTCTTCCAGCATTCAATATTCCAGCTCCTACAGTGGAATCTCTTATCAGGTCTTAGTTTATACTGGTGAGTTAAAACTGCCACTTTTGCTAAGTTGTGTTGGATTAAAGCTGCAGTGCTGTCCTTGTACATATTGTCATCTTAGCTTCCATTCATGCATGGATCAGTACATCCAAGAGTAGAAGCGGATATATATCCTAAGTAAGATCAGGCATTAAAAAAACTACATATATTAGGTTTTAAAGCAGCTTTGGGACCAAAGAAAGTGCTCTGTGACATTTCTGCAGTTCTTGAGGCTTTTGTCATTCTGATTATGCTGCTACATTGCTCTAATTTGGGGGTGTTTTTTTTTAATCCTTACTGCAGGGTATGGCTTTATTGTATCTGGTAGATGCTTCAGATTTACCAGGGTTACTCCTGGCCAGCTGTGAAATGTTGCAAAGGTTAAAGGAACTACTTTTAGCTCCACTAGCCATCACTTCTTAAAATATGTTTCTTTGTTGTAGCCGAAAGTGTTTAATGTTTGTTTTATTTAAAGCAGAACAGAAAGTATCTGCAGTGAACAAAGCAGTGACTGTGTTTGTTGTCTGAGAAAAGCAAGTGTGTTGGTTTGCTTGCTGAAGGAGGTAAATATTTAGCTGTGAATATTTACCTCTCGGCTTGACCACATCAGAAATGAAATAATACTGGGGAAAGCAGGTCTGTTTTATGGTGAACTTGGGGATTTCAGCTGCATCTCTTTGCGTTTTCAGGTTGGATGCTAAGAACTGCAAACGGATCAACCTCGGGGGGTGCCAGGCAGCCGTGTATCTGCAGCGCCTCCTGCAGCTGAAGTACCCGGGCCATTTTGCTGCCATCACACTCAGTCGCATGGAGGAAATCCTGCATGAGCACAGCTACGTTGCAGAGGACTACATAGAAGGTAAAACCAGCTGTAATTTACCACTCGATTGTCTTAATCCAATCTGAGTTTTGACCTCTGGTGTTCTCAAGTTGACTGGGATTCTGGTAGAAATAATCTATTGCTATTTTGCTTTCTTGATAGCTGCCTTTCTGGTAGTCTGTCTTGTGGGAAGGGCTTGACAGCAGGTTTGAATTTAACATAGAAACAAAATTAAATGACAAAAAAAAAAGGATTCTGTATTAGTTCATATTTCCGGGTGACCGAAAACTGGCATTATTTCAGAGGAAAAAAAACCCCAAAATATTATTTTACTCAACATGAAATTGGTTAGGATGGTTTCTGGATCTGGCCATGTTTATGTGCTTCATGGTTTACAAAATTGCAGAGGGTGCTTCTCATGGCTGTTGTTTTTTTTCGTGAAGTGAAGAAGTTTTAAAATGTCCATGGTAAATGCAATCTTAAATAGTGGCTCAAGAAAAGTGTTTTGTTAAATGTGTCCCTTATGACAGAGCCTGCAGGAGCCCTTAGAAATGTGAGAGAACTCTCCTTTACCTTGGGAAGAGAGATTAGTGGGCACTTCCCACTACTTACTACTTTGTATTTCCTGCCTGCTGGAGATCAGAGAACCAAAATACGTGGGCATTGAGGTGTGGCTGGAAGGTGGTGCTCTGAGGGGGTAGCTTAACATGGGTGCAGCTGCCAAGTGATGACAGAACCCTAGGCTGGACCACTGTTGTTTTCCTCCTTCAAAGTCTGAACTTAGCGTGGAGCCTGTGCAGCGTAAGAGTCATTGCTTTCAGCCTGGCAAAATATTTTGTTTCCAAAACCTTCAGAGCTGCAGAAGTGGCGGTCCCCAGAGTACTATGAGAACAACATGCACAAGATGCAGCTGCCTTTCTCCAACAAGCTGCTGGGCAGCACTCTGACATCAGAGGAGAAGCAAGAGAGGAGGCAGCAGCAGTTACGTCGACTTCAGGAACTCAATGCACGTCGTCGAGAAGAGAAGCTACAGCTTGACCAAGAGAGGCTGGACAGGTTACTCTACGTGCAGGTAATCAAGGCAGTCTTCTCTGTGGTCTTCTGGGAGGAGGGCAGAGTTCTCAGAGCTTTGTCAGGCCATGCAACAATGTAAAGAAGCTGTGACTGTCCTGGGTGTTTCATGATAGGAGCTTTTTAAGGTTACTTGCAAGATAAATGGGAGAGGTTATTGATGTAGCAGATGCTTCCAGGCTCTGAACTCCTTTTGTGAAGCACTTTGAATGCTGCCAAAGCGTGCACACTGTAACATCTGGTGATGAAGGCAAAGTGTCTGCAAGTGCACAGCTGACAGGTGATTACCCTGTATGGTTCATCACAGCTAACTCTGATCCATCTGTAGGAACTTTTAGAAGATGGTCAAATGGATCAGTTCCATAAAGCTTTGGTGGAGCTGAACATGGACTCTGCAGAAGAGCTTCAGTCCTACATCAACAAGTTGAGTCTGTCAGTTGAACAAACAAAGCAGAAAATCCTACAGTCAGAAGTCAGTATTGAAGTAGATGTTGTGGACAGCAAGCCAGAGGTACAATGTTTTCACCAAGTTAATCTTCTTATCTCTGAGAAAATTACGTTTTTATGCTTGAATGTGCCCCTTTGGACTGTTATTGATGATCTCAGCTTTTCTATTAACACACTGCAACTCATTGCTAATTTGGTAACTGCTTTTCTCTCTCCTAGCTTTCGTATGCAGATGCAGAAAGTGACAGGTTTGGTTTTATAGAGGATGCCTGAAATCAGTAACCCTCCTTGTGCTGTTCTACACTGTGCTCTGAGATATATACTTTGATTCCATATAGTTCTAAGCATAATCTCTGGGCTTCTTGTTAGAAGTTGGAGCATAGAGTTACATGAAATCAGTAAGGTTCCTTAAAAATTCGTTGCATATCTTTAAGAAGTTGGACAGAAAAGACACTGCTAGCCCCAGGGGGTCAGAGAAGGTTCCCCTGCTGCCCTTTGTAAGTTACTCCTGGCAACATGTGCCAGTCACTCCCTTTACTTAAGGCTGGCTTGCTTAGGGGTTGTAAATGCAACAGCTAACATAATGATTTTGTTCATACTTTAAACCAAGCTGTAACTCTGCTGTTTCATTAATGCTGGTGAAATGAGCAGGTCTGTTTTGTTTGTTTAACAATGAAGGGTGAATTGCTACACTTGGTTGTTGGAGTTCTCTTGAAGGTGGGATCACATTTGTCTGCTTTGCCAGGCTAATACAGGCCTGGCACGTGGCAGCTGCCTCTAAGAGATGGTCTGAGGCTGTTTGTTCATTTATTTGTAATTGCCTTTCAGGTCAGATAAGACAGAGCTTTTTAGTTATATCAGTCTTTGCTTGGGAAAAGGTAGAGGAATAAAAAAACAGAATATTGAAGCATAGGTGCCAGATATAGGAATTCCTGTGTCTTATGTGGAACTTGAGATGTGGCCAAAACCAGAAGGTGAGCTCATACCTTCTGGGTGTATGTTTTGCCTTTCCTTATCAGTAAAGCTTGTGCAAGAATGTTTGAGCAACACTGAGGTAGATGATGAGCTTACCATTGTGGGATAGAACCTTGCTGCCTTCTGCCAAAAGAAATTGGTCTAGAAAAAGAGAATTGCAAGACTCAGCTTCTAATTTTGCCCAGTGGTTGTGCTGAAGTCCCAATATGTCCCTTGGATCCCACGCTAACTCCAGACCTTGGAAGGAATCTGAAAACCTTTTTGTTTGGTCTGTGCTTTGTGAGAGCACCTAGGATTAGCACCAAATCCATTTGTGAAGACAGGCCTTGTCTCTGTGGCCCTGGGAAGGAGTCTAAAAGCTGATTATGTTGTCCTAGGATCTGTGCCAAGTCTTCACCGAGTTCTGTGTTTCTTTCTGTTGCTAGTTAGTGGACTTTTTTTAAAAAACATGAAAAGAAATGGATTTAACAGAGCGTGAGTATTGAAGATAAGGTGCCTACGGTTTGTTTGCAGTAACAACAACAAACACTGCTTCAACTTCAGCTGGAGTAGTTGCTTGGGTTTAAGTGGATGTAAACTAGGTACTTAAAATGTTTTGTGTGAGCTCCTTGCAACATCTCATCCTGGTAGACATTGCAACAAATGTTTCCAGTGTCAAATAAGAAAAGCAAATCTGTAGCAACAAAATGCCAAAGGTAACATTGTAACAGCAATAAAGGTATAATTAAACAACTGCTTCTACTTGCAACAGTGAAGTACTCTAGGATTTAGAATGGTGCCTTTCATCAGGAAGGAGCTTTGGGAGCACCTTCACAACTGTGCAAAATAGAAAGGCTTTTGGTATATCCCATGTGCAAATGAGAGGTGGCAGAAACTGTCCAAAACTGTGTGGTGGCTTTGTAGCTAGCAAATATTTGTTTTCCAGTTCCACAGAAGCAGGGTAGGGAATTTAATGATAATTATAGAACAGTTAGAAGTGTTGGGAGTGCACCAAGTTTTAACCAGTTTAAAAAGCTATTTTAATATGTTTTAGTATGCTGTTGTATTTAGGACAGGGCTGGTTAGGATCCTGGCAGTCAGCCTGTTGACTAAGGCCTTGACTTGCTGAGCTGGCATGGCAAGAAATGTATTGAAAGTGTTTGATTTTTATGCTTTGAGTGAATGGTTGTCTTAACTTCTGTTTTCTGGGTTGTTCACTGTTTTGATTCTTTTCTTCAGTGCTGGAGAACTGCATATTTGGTTTCAGTCACATTAAAGACTTGAGATTTGAGGAAATAGGCATTGAATTTTACAAGTGTGTCACCAGAATTGAAGCCATAGATGTGGCTAGCACACCTGAGCTAACTACCTCAATATACCTTCTCTGTTTCCAGACTCCTGATTTGGATCCATTAGGGAGTGAACAGTCACTGGAGGATGTGGAGAGCATTAATGAGTTTGAACCTTTGTTTGCTGAGGAACAGCCTGAAGTTGAGAAGCCTGTTGCTGCAGTGCAGGTTTGATTTCTGTATCTATACCTCATGCCAGAGGTTGCTGTCCAGCTAGTCTGCTAATGTTTCTCCAAATGCAAACATGGCTTTCCTGCTCTTAGAAGAGATGCTTAAACTGTCTGAACATGAAGAGAGGAGAAGTCCTTGCAATCTGAGCTGGTGGCTTAGAACATGGATATGCCCACCTGGTTCACTCTGCAGGCAGTGCCTGTTGGAGCAGTGCTGTGCTAGTAGGGGCGACACTGTCCTGCTCAGGCACTTCTGTGTGTGACCCATAGCCCAGTGTCACATCCCCGTGGACACAGCTTTCAACTTGTGAGGTTGAGCCTTAGGGCTGAGTGGGACCAGACAGAATAAAATACAGAAGTCCAGCTTTCTTGGCCTTTTCCAACTTTTTACAAGATGGGCCTTTCTGTGAGAGCATTGCCATCTGGTTTTGTTCAGAATTGCTTGGAAGCAATATTCTAGAATATTACTATTCCGTGACATGATTTCCTACAACTTTTCAATCTTATCTTTTTCAAGCCTGTGTTTAACCTGGCAGAATACCACCAGCTTTTCCTTGGAACTGAAAGAATCAGGGCTCCAGAGATTATCTTCCAGCCATCCCTGATAGGAGAAGACCAGGCTGGTATAGCAGAAACTATGCAATATGTCCTTGAGAGGTGAGTTTACAAAGCTGCTTGGCATTTACTTCAAACAAATGAGTCTTTTTCAATACTGATTACTTGACAATAGTTTGAGAAAATATGTTTGAATAGTTATTTTAGATGGAGTTGAACATTGCAGGTTATACATACCTTCCTATTCTGAAAGCCATGTATAACTCTGCCTGTCTGAAGTCAGTGGTCTCCAGTTTTTTGATAAATTACCACTTCAGTAAAAAAATGTGGAGCACACATTTCCAATATATGTATGTTTATAAATGACAAACAGGTACTACTGAACTAGTAGATTATGTCCATTTAAAAATGTACACAAAAATAGAAAATGAAAAGGATGAGACAAAGGTGAAATAAACTGTATTATTTATTAATGGTACAAAAGAGATGTTCTTCCTGCACCCCAGTGGGTTGTCTTGCATGCAGCCCACTTTGGAGACCCCCTGATCCAACTTACAGAGAGAAACAACAAACCCTTGTAAATATCCATCCCCTGAAACAATGAACTGATAATCTCCAGGTTTGGGAGACCAAAACCAGGGGTCTGTTTCCAGAGGACTTAGTATTAGCAGACAGTCACCCCTGAACTGTATGGACATACAAGATGGCATTTTCTGAAATGTAAGAATTCCAGCTCTGCTGAGGTGTTGATTTTTGGGGTACAGTGCACAGAGTGATTTATGGATTTTCTTCTGCCATCATTTGAATTTCCAGAATACAAATGAGCACAGGTTCTCACGCTAGGGAAAGGAAGAAAGTTTCTCAAGTGAATCCTGAAGACCTGACATCAGTATTCCCCATAGCTCTTCAGTTCATAGGAGACATATGCTTGGAAAGACTGAAGTTGTTTTTTGTTCCTTGTAGGTACCCAAAGGAGCAACAAGCTATTCTTGTCCAGAATGTTTTCCTCACTGGTGGAAATACCATGTACCCTGGGCTGAAAGCCAGAGTCCAGAAGGAACTCCTTGAAATGAGACCATTCCAGTCATCTTTTCAGGTACATGTATTGTCATGATGTGTGCATGAACAGCCTCTTAATCTCTGGTCAGAAAACACTGCAACCAGCTTTTTTGACCTGAGAAGATGAATGTTAAGCAAAGATACAGTTGATCTTTCTTCCAGTACCTGAAGGAGGCCTACAGGAAAACTGGAGAGGGACTTTTTCAAGGGCTTGTATTAAGAGGACAAGAAGTAATGGATCAAAACTAAAAGAGGGGGCATTTAGGTTAAACATTAGGAGGAAATTCTTTAGTGTGAGGCTAGTTAGACACTGGCCCAGGTTGCCCAGAGAAGCTGTGGCTGCCCCATCCCTGGAGGTGTTCAAGTGTGGTTTGTGTTACGAATACTGTGATCAGGGTGAAAAGGGCTTTTTCTATCCCGTGTTGAACTGACAGGCTTCTGTTTTCCTTCCATCCAGGTTCACCTTGCTTCCAGTCCTGTTTTAGATGCCTGGTATGGGGCTAGGGATTGGGCAGTGGAATACATGACCCGTGAGGAAGGCTGGATAACCAGGAAAGACTATGAAGAAAAAGGAGGAGAATACCTCAAGGAACACTGTGCTTCAAATGTCTACGTTCCCATTCGCCTCCCAAAGCAGGCCGCAAAGACAGCAGAGGCACTGGCACCCAGCAGAGTGACAGCCAGCACAGGCAATCCTTGTGAGCAGGCATAGCACTGCCCCTGGGCACAGCCTCAAGGGGAGGTGACAGTGCAGGGAAAAGAGGAGTTACCAGGTGGCAGTGCCAGCTGTCCTGGAGTGCAGGTCACAGCCTGGCCCTGCGGCCTGCCCAGAGCACCAGGCAGCTTATCCAGTTGCTCCAGGGAGGAGGACGAGCCACCCCAGGCTGGCAGCTGGTGTGATCCCCAGCTGGCATGGCTGTAGCACAGGAGTGTGTGTCAGCAAGGAGGGACATGTCAGAAGTGCATTCCAGAGAAAAATACCAGCTTGACAACTTCCTCAGGGATTTTTGAGAGTATACGTTTTACAGCTTCTTTAAGTTAAATTTCCAGGTACTGGTTTTACACTGCATTTCTTGCAAGATCCAGCAACTGGCCTGTGTCGAGTCAGCCCAGCAGGTGTCTCCCTGGCTTGTCCCTGGTTGGGCATGGGCTGTCAGTCCTGCTGGAGGCCCTAGGGGCTGAGCTCTGCCTTTCCTCCTGAGGCCTCCTATACTCATATCTCATTTGATTTCTTTCCTGCTGCACACTGTCTGCTAAACCACTGCTTGTTCAGCAGTGGGGTTTCAGGTACTTCTTGACTTCTTTCATGTCAGTTTTGATGTCTTGGTTGAAACTGGAGACCTAATCACTTAAAACACTGTCCAGGTATAAAAACAGAACCCCCTAGGAAGCACTGTCCAGAAGGACTGCCAAAGCTCCTGCTGTCTGTAAGGGGGTTTAAAAGAGTGGTGGCTCTTGACTGGTGGGACTTTTTTATCAAAACCTTGAGCAATAAAGCAGATTTTTTTTCCTTTACCAGTAACTTACGTGTTTTAGTCATTTGGCCTTTTTCAAGAGTATAGCAATAAGGATTAGCTGAAAAATGCAGGTTTCAGCCAGGCCTGTGTCCTGCTGCACAGTTCTCACACTGGGCAGTTTGCCATTGCTTGCCCAAAAGAATAATCAATATTGAATGCTGAACTGAAACCTAAGCAGGCTCCATCAGTTTGACAAGGGCTGTAAACAATTAGGCTGGAAAAGGTAAGACTGTGGGGAAAATATCAAGACTAACTGGGACAAAGAAGGTGACCAGGTGATGATTTTCTGTCCCCACGGGCTGCCAAGCATCAAGATGAAGTTGTCATCTGGCAGATTCAAAAGAAAGGATGTGAGGTGCTTGCTGAAGTGAGGAGTTTGTTGCACAGGATGTGTTACACACATTTTGTGTAACATGGACAAAGGTGGACCTATGGCCTGGTCCTAATGGGCTGTTGGGCAGGGGAGAAGGAGGAGAAGGGAGTTTGCTGCCTTCAGGTAACCTCAAGTTTGGGCTGTTGATCCTCTCCCTAGCTGCCTGGAGGCACACTAATTTTCAGGACCATTAGGGCAGTTCTTTGGCTGGTAAAGAATGTGGAAAAACATGTTGTGCTGAAACTGGCAAAGTTACACCCCAACCCATCTGTGACCTGGAGTGGAGTATATGATGTCCCATTGCTGGTTGACCCCTTTCTGACACCTCTGTAGCTATTGTGGTGGAGTTGGGACTTAAAATACAGAAATGTGTTCTGATACTTGGTGTTGGTTGCTAAATGGATAAGAGGGTGTTGTGCATAAAACTGCTCCAGCATGAAGGCCAGTGGGGTGTCTGTGTAGTGGATGGTTTTATTACTCTTAAACATTTGGCCAGACTGTGCCAACCACTTCACGTGCATTCATTCCAAGCAGATCTGTCTAATTATGTACAGAGATGCCAGATCAGCTGCTTAAACAGCTTCAAGGGAGCATAATTTTATAATCTCCTGAATATTAGCTGTTAATTTGTTACATTATCCTCACAACAGCTGAAGTAACTAATGAACCTGGACAATGGGATCACAGTCACAGGTTGTTCTCCATGGGCTGGGGCATTCAGTTGCTTGCAGTAGCACCATGAAAAGTGTGAATGGTGCAAAATGAGTTTAATTTTACCCATTACAGTTCTGTTCCCTGATAGGATTTGCTGTGGTGTTGGCAGGAAACAAACAGAAGGAGTGCATGGTGCTGAGGGCAGGAGACCCCAGTGGTGTTGATTTGGGCAGTAGTGTTGGTTGCAGTCCTGTGGAGCTCTGCTGTTGTGACACTTCTGGCAGGGTTTTCTCATGCTCCTGTGCAGGATGTAGTTGTTTTCAACATCACTGGCCCAGGGCTCACCAAACCCAGAAGGTGCTCAGGCTATTCTGTGCATTACCTTGTGCCACCTGAGAGAGGAAGAGGCCAATAAGGCACCTGCTGGGCTCCTTTTTGAGGAGACTTGTCGTTGTGTGAGGAGCAGTAGGAGGGATTGTTAGGAGAAAACTTGACTGAGAAAAAAACTATCCTTCTGTAGACAGGAAACCTGGACTGATGCTGTGAGGCCCTTTGCCAATTGATGGCAGAGCTGCTGGGTGAGCTGCTGTGCAAGCAGCCTGGAAACCTGCACTGTGTTTATCCTGGAGGGGGTCCTGCAAGCTGACAAAGTGCACTTGCCAGCTCAGAGGTGGTCAAGTGGTTCCCATTTCATCCTCAAAGTATTAAGTTTGAAGCAACCTGTAACCTTATTATGCATCTCAGTTATCACCTAATTCAGGTCAAAGAATACAAAAGCAGAAGTTGCAATTTCACAGGCCTGGTGAGCATGGTCTATTTCATCTTCCACCTTTTGCAGGGTCCCTCAGATCTGCTCCAAGTGGAAACACCACGTCAGTGGGAAGCCCTGGAGACTAAACATAGATGGCATGTTTAGTGTCCCAGATTTCCGTTGGAGCTGCACACCAGCCTTGCTTCAAGGCTTCTTATGTTTCCTGTGCCACAACCACTTCAAACACCAGCCATTCTTTCCTAAATCTCCACTAGGACACCAAGATTAGAAGGCTTTGCCCCAGTTATTAATCTCCAAAGTACTCAATGTGCTGTGTAAGGCAGCGTTTCGGAAGGAAGAGAAGATGTCCATGAACTGTCACTTAAAATGTAGGATTATCCCCCCAGAGACAGCCTGCAGTGATCCCCCAGCAGCCAGTCGTAAACCAGAAGTTTTGAAGCTTGTGTGGGATGAGCAGGGGAGGGGAGAATGCTGTCATGGATTTAACATTATCCCCCAAGTCAGATGGTGGGATTTGCACCCTGGTTGGGTACATCAGGCACAGAGCAACTGTGCTGCTTCCCATTGCTTATTCCCACTGCTCTGTGCAGACAGTGAATGGGTCCCTGAGCATCAGCCTCAACAAAACTTCTCAGCTGTACATGGCTCAAAACCCTGGCATGGATGCCAAGAGTTCTTTTCCTAAGCTCAGTTTCCTGTATTTAGATGATCCAAGCCTTTTTTCCCTCCCTGTTCATGACATGAGCCTGCCCCTACCTCCTAGGGTGACAAAGTGCCATGGTTTCCAATTTTATTTTTTATATTATGTTGGGTTTTTTAATATCCTCAGAGATCTTTTCTTCCTCTTTTTTGAGCAGTGGGCTTGGTTTCCATTTCCTAAGGCAGCAGAGACTGTGATGAGAGTACTGCACCAAAAGCCAGGAGACCTGGATCCATTTTCCTGTCTGTTTATCATGGCAAACCATGTCTGTTTGCTCTGCCCTTGGTTCAGTGCCTCAGCATCAAGATGAACCTGTGAGTGGTGCTAGCAGAGGGTTTCACACATTGCTACTGTAGAAGGCAGTAGGGTGGTGGTGTCCCATAGGTGGGAAGGCTGGAAAGGGCTTTGTGAGGGGATCAGGTGGGAGGTCAAATCAAACTACGGAGAATAGGTCCATCTGTGCTGAATGCACAGCAGGACAAATGGAAGGTTTTCAAACCCCTTTTTGCCTGAAGCTGGAAAGAGCATGTAGAATGGTCAGAATCACTCTGTGCAGCTGTGCTGCTGTTCTTAAGCAGTTGCTGTTGGCTGCTGTCAGAATATGGAGCAAGCTGGGTTTATGGTCTGACTCAGGCAGGAGCTTCAATGATCTTAAAATTCCTGAGTTTAGACAGGGCAGTATTTTTTTAGCTTTTTACTTAAGGGCTGAGATGAAGTATGAAGCAGCTTCTCTCTTTATCTGCTGGGAAATAAAAGGTCTAGTCTGATGGGAAAGCATCTTTTCTGTTGTCAGTGAGAAGGCACTCCAGGTTCCTGTACTTCCAGTGTCCATAATCAGATGGTTATATCAAGAGGCTGTTCATGTCCAGGGAAGCTCAGTGTGCTTGGCAGGTTTGGCTGGATAACTGAGCTTTACAACATGCAAGTGAAATGTGTGGCTTGATTCAAACCTGTGTCAAATGAATTCCAGAGGAGAGAGACCTTTGGAGAGCATCTCAGCTCCTCATGTTTGAATTCCTTGGGAGCATGGTGTGTGATAGAGTATTGGATAACAGGGAGGCCATGGAGCATTGGGTACCTTCCTTAGATGAAGGACAAGGGTGTGTGGTGGACCCCTGGGTGGGAACAGTTTTGTGGGGTGATGACAACCTGCAGTCCCAAAAGCCTCGTAGCTGCTGTGGTGGCACATGGGGGTGGCAGACAGGGCTTTGTGTGGGCACCTTCCCTGGTGCTCAGGAGGGGTGGGAGGCTGTTGGCTTCGGTGAAGGCTGGTTTTTCTGCTCTCTAAACAATCACCCCATTTCTGAATCTCTTCCTGGAATGTCTTCCATGCTCCTGCATGGCTCCAAGTGCCCAGTGGAAAAACTGTCCCATAGGAACATAGGAGGCTGGGAACACACTGCCCTGACTTGCCTGGAGGATAGTTCAGGTCTGCACCAAGAGTTTTGGAGAAGTCTTATCTTTCCACTGAAGATTTTGATGCAGAGATTTTGTTCTTCAGGGTTTTATTGTTCTCTTCAAAGGAGGTCAGTGATAAATAAGAAGAACTATCCTGCCTCTCTGATCCTTGTTTTGGCATTTGAATGTCAGCCCAACCATGTCCAGGTAAGAAACAGTCCCATTGGTCAGATCTTCCTGCTCTGCTTTGAGCGCTGGCAGGGACTCACAGGGTCCTCCACACAATTTTAGAAACAGCCTCAGTTGCTGTTAGAGTGCTCAGAAGTCCCCTGGG